TCTTCCCCTGGACCTGGGTCTCAGTGATTTGGCATGACTAGGTGGCCCACAAGACACAGGGTTCTCCTGGCTCTGCCTCCCCAGTATTAGGATTACAAGCACACATCACCAAGTCTGGCCTTCCTCGTGGGTGTTAGGGATCCACACTTACACTTTACTGAATGAGCCATCTCTCTTGTCCCTCACATGGTTTCTTATCCTGGCCCCTAAACTCAGGATGGAGAAATTTGCCACAGCTAGCAAGAAAGCCATGGTCTGGCGGGATATAAGCGAGAACTCCAGCTCCTCTTATGTTTCTGGGAGGACGGAGCCTAGAGTGAGGAGAGAATCCCCTTTCCTGGTCTCCATTCCTAACACTCTCTGGCATTTGGGATGAACCTACCTTCCACAATCCTCCAAAGGAGCCAACCTTGCTGGGTTGCCATTAAGAAAAGAGCCGCCTGCTAAAGTGTCCTTCCTCCTCATCCACTGGCCAATCATTTTCAGCCATTTCATTTGCTAGATTTCCTGCTGGGGCTCAATAGTGTGGCTGCTCCGTTTGTTATTTAAAAGAGTGACCCTAATGAGCCCAGAGCTCTGAAGAGGGGCAAGCCTTATTTCAGCAAGTGAGAAGAGCTAAGATAAAGGGTGCCTAATTGAAGCCCAGAGAGGTCTCCAGACAACCATGCTTGGTGACAGTACCTTAGGCCAGGGGATAACTCTTTATGTCCCAGCTAGTTAACCCATGCCTTTCTGAACTCACAAACTAACTGACTAAAATATCCCTAGCAGAGGCTGCAAACTGGAGCCAAGAGCCACCCAAAGCTCTACTTGAAAGGAAAGGGGAAGGGAAGACGTGGAAAGGAGCGCAGGACACCGTGATGTGCGTGAAGAGAATCTGGGAACGGCTGTCTAGCTGGCAGGGAGACACTTAGGGAAAGGGTCTGAGGCAGGAGAATATAACCACCAAGTGGAGAAGTGGGAGGGCAGGCTGAGGCCACTGCCTGAGCCACATATTAGAGAAATCAGGCGACAGCGGACCCCCTCTGCTGGGCTCCTCCTGCTGTTTCTCCTTCTCCCTGAAGCCAGCGGCTTTGGGACCAGTCTGCATGTGTAGCCCCAGCCTCGTTGCTTCTGGTTGGCTACACTTGAGACAATGGGAAGGCACATTTGAGGATCATTAGTATGTTCTTTTATATATATATATATATATATATATATATATGGTGATATTTTTGAGATAAGACTGTAGTCTAAGCTAGTCTGGAACCCATTTTGTAGCCCGAGTTGGCCTTGAACTGATACCCTGCTCTGAGATAAAAGTATCCTTCAGAGTGGTATTGGCTCCTCATCTTGACTTACCTATAAGGGAAGAGTTCAAATGAGAGCTGGGGATGGTAACCATCCTGATGGATATCATGAGGCCTCTGGGTCCCAAGAAATATTGAACAAAGGTTAAACCAGTGGTGGTCTCAGGGTGTGGATAGAGCCCAGGTCCCAGGGGTGGCATTTACACTCGAGTGTAAGATGAACTAAGCCAGAAATAATATATCTGAAGGTTGTTGTTTGCCCTGGGGGAAGGTTGAAGACAAAAGTGGGCAGGCTTGAACTGTTTCTCCAGGCTTAACATTATGTTCCCTTGATTTGTGTTTGACAGATGTTTTAGTCTCAGTAGTCCGTGGCCTTTAGCTTTGGTTCTAATCAGCAAATACTTGGGAAACTAACATGAATCAGATTTGAATTGAATACTAAAAATAACAGAAGAACGTATGGGTTTACGGAACCAACTCAACGGGAAGGTTTCCCACCTTGGAAAGAGCAGGCAGGCAGGACACACCCTCTGCACAGAGGATGCGCACTGAGTCCTAGCGGACCTCACTCTCATCCTCCCTCTGTCACACGCTGTCACTCTCATCCCTCCCTATGATGTCACACGCTGTCACTCCCATCCCTCCCTATGATGTCACACGCTGTCACTCTCATCCCTCCCTATGATGTCACACGCTGTCACTCTCATCCCTCCCTATGATGTCACACGCTGTGTTGGAATATGGACAGAGAAAAGGAAAGAACAGAAAGGGGCTGCTTGCTCTCCTAGAACTTCCCCTCCCAAGGTCCCTTCATCAGGAAAGCATTAGATTTAGTGAAGGCGTATAATGGGAACGTCAGTCCATGGCTTAGGAGGAAGTCGAGATGAATGGAGGCCTAAGAATGGCCAGCATTGGGCAAGCAGAGGACAATCTGTGTGCATTTACTGGTGCAGAGGGCCTGCTAGGGAGTGTTCAAAACAGAGTGAAGAAAAAAAACCCAAAAAACAAAAAACGGAGTGAGGAGAGCTAAAGATGCAGTTCTGTCGGTAGAGGGTTTGCTGAGCATGCGTGAAGCCCTGCACTTGATCCTCAGCGCCACACGCACCTAAACTAGATGTGTGTGTTGGGGGGGGGGGCGTTATGGCTGTGGTCCCATGCAAGGTGGTCAGAAGTTTAAGGTCATCATCCCTGGTCTACATTACAAATTCCAGCCTGGGGTACACGATGAGACCCAGTGACAGAGAGAGGAGTCGGCAGTGAGAGAGACTGCGCCAGCAAAGGGTTTTCAAAGTCAACAGCTGAAGTGTGTTCGGCACTCTAGGAAGGTCACACCGATGGGAGAGCCAGTTTTGCAGAGACAGGCAGGGCCCATGCTGTGTGACACTTTATAAACCACATTAAGGAGATGCTTCCTTATTAGAACCTGCAGTAAAAAGCCGTTGGCAAGCAGTAAGCAGGCAGGTGATGAAATCGTTGCAACACAGATTGAAAGAAGCAGAACCGGGTGCAGGGGAGGCTGCATCAGCACAGTGGGCTGGAGTGTGGCAGGGAAGATGAAGACGCAGCAATGGCATTGCAGAGATACCGGGAGACTTAAGTCCACAGGGAACAGCACCCTGGCCATGAACTATCAGGGACACACAGGACTAAGGAGATCATGGGAATTTAATTTCATTAATATACTAATAGGATGTATCTCAGATAGTATAAATTTGGTTAGAAGATGGAAAAGAAGTGGGAAAAGAGATGAACAATTCAACTTTCCAGATATGAGCTCCCAAAACTCATGGTATCAAAAGAATATCTTCTCCAGTTTAAAATATTAACTGAGATTCAGGCCTGGTGGTACAGCCCTGTAACCCAAGCAACTTAGGAGACTGGGGTGGAACAACTTCCAGGGTTGTCTGGGTTATAGAGAGAATCAAAGCCAGTCTAGGCAACGGAGTCAGATCACAACCCAGAAGAAACAAGGTGTGTGAGCTGAGGCCATCGCTCCATGGTATAGCCCTTGACTCTCACGCAGGGCCCTAGGTTCAATTCCTAGTACCTTAGGAAAAAGATGGTATCAAATGTGAACCTGGGGTGATGGTGTGACCAGAGATGTAAACTCAGGGAATATGCGGGTATTGAGTCCAAGGCCAATAGTACAGAAATGAGCAGCTCTAAGTAAGACAAAGCCCCCTAGAATGAAAGAAGACTGTACCAGGGATCCTAAGATGGGAAACCTGAGAGAAACAGGGGTCAACCAGAACCCTCTGTACCAAGGAGAGATGGGGGAGGAGTGGAGCTCACAGCAGGAGGGGATTAGCGTTGAGAGGTCTCAGTCATGGCCACATTGAGGTTGCTTTTCATTTTAACTCTAAATTAAAAACTTTGTTTAGAGGCTGGAAATCTACTTCCCTCCAAAGAGTAAATAAGGATATCTCATGCAAACCTTCACCAAAGGTGGTTTGAATTTCTCAGGGTGCATTCTAGTATTTTATTTCAGGAGCTGGACAGCAGGTGCCTGCGGATTCTGTGTTTCTAGAACATGCTGTATGTGCTATCTAAATAGTTCAAAATCAATCTTTAAATGGATTGTTCAAAACCCACTGCTGGACAAAAAAAAGTCAAGTATTGAACAGCAGCCATAGCTGTGTTTGTATAAAACTATATACTTAAGCCCATACGGATACAGATCCTAGCAAGATGTCCAGGGTGGTTCCTGGCTAACTTAGCAAGAGTTAGTTGGAGTGAAGGTCATTTTAATTTTCTTCTTCATAGTCTGTCTTCTTTAGATTTTTATAGCCTACATACATAACCATTTTAGCAAATTAGAAAATCACATAAGATCCCTTCATGAAGTCAAACAGCCCTTCCCGGTGAGTGTAGCACAGTCACGGATGCCTCAAATGAGGAGGTTGGAGCTCAGCATCTCATGGGTGGAGTTTTGAATGTGAACACTCCCCCTCATAAGATGAATACTTGGTATCCAGTGGGTAGCACAATGTTAGGAGGTAGTCAGAACTCTGGGAGGTTGGTCCTTTCTTGAGGGAGAAGGTCATGGAGGTCATATTTTTGAAGCAAGTACCCGAGACCTCTTTTTCTCTGCTTTTTTACGATGAGGTAAACTGCCTCACCCCACAACATGTTCTCCACCACAGTGTTCTCCTGCACTACAGGCCAGAAGCCATGAAGCCAGCCATCATGGGCTCATGCCTCTGAAACCATGGGCAAAAAATGTCTCCTTCTAAGTTGTTTCTTCTAGGTATTTTGTAAGAACAAAACAAAGTGGCTAAAACAGAGGAATTTTTTTCAGTCTTGCTACAAACCAGACTGAAAGGTGCTTCCCACGGCATGCTGGCTCATGAAGACAGAGAAGCGAGGACGAAAGGTGAGGAGACCTTCATTGTGAGTTCAAGGTCAGCCTGGTCTACAGAGCTACAGAGCTCATCCCAGGACAGTTAGGACTGTTAAACAAAGAAAACCTGTCTCAAAACACACACACACACACACACACACACACACACACACACACACACACAGAATATGAACCAGCAAGGTTTAACTGAAGTGATCCCCTGACCATCACCAGGTGCCATTTCAAGACCAGCGTTCAGGATGCTGCCATCCTGTACAGCCTTTCCCTGGTCCCGCACCTCCAATCCCCCTGCCTGTGAAGCTCTCTCCTGGTCCCCACCCTGTGTTGGCGCAGCCGCACTCCACACTTACCTATTCAGCATGTTAGACTGGTAGATCCTCTTCTCGTGGGTGTTGTAACAGCTGCTCTTGGGCTCAGGGATGAAACTGTGCTCCGACAGCATGTCGGAGGCAGCAGTGGTGATGATGGCAATCCCATCTCTCACCCTAGCAGGAAGGCCATAGTCCCATTCGTCATAGGACACAGAGATAAGCCCCGTGGGAAACTCGGCGGGCACAGTGTCTGTATCCCCAGCCACCAGACTAGGCACAATCCATGTGTAACCGTAGCCGGTCAGCCCAACCGAGTTAGCTACTTCAAATATGTAGGTGGCTTCTTCCTTCGTGCAGTAGAGGAGGATGATAGGGCTTTGCAACTTCTTCAGCTGGTTCTGGATCTTCGAGTCGCCGTCGTCCAGAGACATGTCTAACAGGAGGACTTCCTCCAGCTCCCAGCCCACAAAGCTGTTCTCGATGGTGCTGCGGATCTTGTTCACAAAGTCCTGGTAGCCGGGGAAGTAGGTGGTGACAATGGAAAAGATGTACCAGTCGTATTCTTCCATGATGTTGAGCATGACGGAAGCTTGCTGTTCAATGGACGGGCCAAACTGGAAGAACATGGAGGACTCGTCCTAGAGCAAAGTAGAGGGAAAAAAAAGAGAGAAATAGAAAAATCAAACAAAGATAGCCAGGGGGATTCTGAATGGACTGCAGACAAAAGTTCAAGGTCGTCATATTTTTTTCATAAAATTGTTTAGTTAAAAAAAAGATTGAACATTTTTCAATTTCAAACATTTATAATAAATTTATCCCTAAGAGTATTTCCTGGCATTTAGGAAAGGAAACATCATCAGTCTATAAATCTTTTTGTATGAACTCCTCAGGATCTTAGCTTAAGATAGCTCCTCAGAAGGAAACACACTGATATTTGCACAGTAGAACATCAAATACTCAGAAAGCAGAAAGAAGAGTCAGCCAGGTAAGCTGCCCGCATGTACACAGTCACAGACAGACAGACACACACACACTCATGCACACACGCTCACCATTTCTCAAGGATGCTAAATTTCTAGGTCTAGAGACTTATATTATTCAGCACCGGGACAAATAAACTAAAGTATCGTGGATCTACCTTAGACTTGTATACATGGCCAGTGTACATCCACTCACTCACAATACACCTGCTGCTTGGCTATATGGAAACCAAAGAGAACGTAAAGCTGCTAGTATAGCAACCCCCACAGTATGGGAGCTTGTATGCTTGTACAGGGTCTCATATGCTATGTTCTACCACTGAGTCCCCTCTCCTGTCCACTGAAAAACGTCTGATATGGGTCTCACTCAGTTTCCCAGGCTGGACCTAGACTCACTCTATAGTCTCAGCAGGCTTTGAACTTGGAATCTTGATGCTTTGGACGTCTGAATAACTGAACTGGCAGGTTTGTATCACCAGGCCAGGCTTACTAACACTCTCTATTAACTTAACCTGTTTTCTGACTGTTGCTCACATAACAAGATATGCAACTTAGAGCAAGGCTCAAACAGTGCCTCTAAGCCATACATTAAAATACTGGTAGCTAGGCTCTTCATGTAGCTGTTCTTGGTTTTAAAGTGACCTACAGAAGAGGGCTTGTTTTCTAACCCATATAATGCCACAGATCTTGGACTGGTCTGTGTGCCACACAGACACACACACGCACAAACATGCATACACATGTGCACGTGCGCACACACACACACACACACACACACACACACACACACGGAGCCAATTCTGAGCATCTTGTTTTCCTCCCTTTCCTTTTGAGGGAACAGCCGTTTTAACCTCCTCCCATTTAAGCTGCATTTCACCCGCTCTTTTATCGTGTCAAAGCCTATAGTTCAGCTCCACCTTCTAGCTACAAGAGTCTGAAACCACAAAATGGATACCCCCTCAGCCTGCCCTCTCAATCCATTCTCCCATTTGTTAATGGAGTCACTTTTCTTAGTCTGTACCCCCACCTTCCATCTGAAGGTCCCTGTCCGCTTTGAAAAAGTCTAGGCTCACACAATCATCTCTTTCTTTAAAGGACATTTCCTCCACATTCCCAACAACCTGAGCTTTAAAGCACAGTTACAAGAGACCAAGAAATTGGGCCTTTAAGCAAATTATATAGCAATTTCTTAGTTCAGGAATAAATAGTCGAGAAACAGTCAAACATTTCTTGAGTGCCAACTGTTGAAAAAATACAGGCTGGAAAATAACCTACTTGTATCTAAGACCCTGGTTGGACAGTGAGAGCTGCCAGCTCCTTGGATTCACCAGAGTAATGTGTGCTTCTCATGCTTGAACTGGTGACATTGAGCCTAGCCTATCCAGAGAAGAGGAGATGTTTTTCCAGCAGTGACTAGTCTTCCTGCCAATGGTGCAATGCTGCGTACCCTTAGTGTGTCTGTCTCCTCTGGGCTTAAATATGAAGCCAGAGATGGGCTCCTGAAGACTAAAACAGCCAGAGAAGCAGAGAAGATGAAGCAACAAGAATAGATGGCTAGAAAAAAAAGAATGAATTCCCTCTAGAATAATTAACACAGCATATGTGCCCGTTCCAAACTCTGGCTAGCAACTCTGGCTAGCCCTTGCTCTTAGACACCTATAACACAAAGACTGTTCTTCGGGGGAAAATGACCTGTTCTCTGGTTGTAGGCTACAGTTGTGATGTGGAGTGGGTACTTTCTCTCTCTGTTAGTAAATCCTAACCTCCAAGATGAGAGTAGAAGGATGTGTTGTCCTTTGAGAGACGATACGTCTTGAAGGCAGAGATCTCAGAGACAGGGTTCGTGTCCTCATGAAGGAGGCTCCGGAGAGCAGCCTTGACTGTTCCACCTTGAGTGGACACAGAGAAAAGCTTCCTTGACAAAGTCAAGAAGGAGTCCTTACCAGACACCAAATCTACTAGCACCATGATCTTGGACTTCTCAGCCTTCAGAGTTATGAAAAGCAAACTCCTGTTGTTGATAAGCTGTCTCCTTTATGACATTTTTATAGCAGCTTAAAATGACTAAGACAAGTGGGTATTCGAGACAATGAAGCTTAATTATTCCAACACTTGTCAGGGACCCGCAGAGAACCACAAGGAAAAAAAAAAAAAGACAAGAAAGCCCATTGACAGAACAGCTCATCTCGAATAGACGCTGCTTCGAGGAGACATCTACTCGATTTTCTTGTAAACACGGTCTTGGAGATTCTCAAATGGGAAATCTTATCCTGTGAGTTTCCACAGGCCCAATGGTTACACCAAGTGAAAATGCTTCCAATATCCTTTAAGATAGGCAAAACCTAGGGAGAAGGAGATCCCAAGTGCAAATGAAATAAAACAACCTGCTCTGTAATGGGTGAAGAGAATTTAATCGCAAGGAGGCTCTTGAATGCACACAATGTCCCACATATGGTAAAACCATAATTGGCTCATATGCACAGCAAGAATCAGCTTTGTGGAAAACTCACAGTTGTCCATCTCAAATGGTCAGGGTTAATGATATTGAACTTAGAGAATGAAAAATCTGTTAAACAACAACTCGGCCCTCTCTTCTTTTGGTCTTTCTTCTCAATGCCTCACAAATGAACTCATAAAGGATACTACCAGCTACTATGCAAAGAAAACTAATTTACAATGAGAGTGACAGAAGAAAGATGAGCATGGTTGTGTCACACCCCCGCTGTACTCTGAGCACACCTTCTAATCCCATCATCATATATAACCCCTTTCCTATACAACCCCCGTCATGCTCGCCTTACCCATTCTGTATTGCCAGTCCTACTCATTCAATAAGGATGCCTACTACAACCATTTACCTGCCACCAAATCAAGTTTGGTGAAGCCAAATAGAAACCAAAAGGCAGTTATGGCTTGGGCAAAGGCTTCCTGTATAGTGTTGTTTATTTAATTGACACATCAGGCTGGTGTACAGAGGTCAGTAATAGAATAGCTCTTTCTTCCAACAAAGCTTTGATCTTTCTCTAAGTTGCAAATGGTGACAGGATTTGCCAGTTATGGCCTCTGTCACAAATCAAAGCACAGTCTTCATACGTGCTTGGAGTGGAGAGTACCGGTGGTCACATAGCCATCTTCGCAGGCATCCAGCATACACTGGGATCACCCACTAATGACCAAGGATGAAAGACAGAGACATAATTCCGTGTGCAGCTCACTGTTTTCCCATGAACATTCTTATCTCCTAATGATATTACAAAATTTTGAGACTCAGGGATCCTTGGAACAGCTACCTCCCCTCACCTGCAGTGAAAATTCCCTGCCAAATGCTATTCAGCTTGCCTTAAGAGCATCTTTAAAGTCTTCCTGCATAAAAGGCTGCCTTCACTGAGATGGGCAATTAACACAGGGGAGGTAGGATTGTACATTAGACCCCATCAGTCTACAACCTTTATGCTGTACTTCCATTACATTGATGTTCGCAGTGTTTATTTGCTAATAAGAGGAAATAAAAAGAAGTACTTTTCCATCCCATTATCTGCCTCTGAAAACAACTGCCTAAAGAATTAGCAGCATGAAAAGTTTTTCATCATCCAGATCCCCTACTGATTCACATCTGAAATAAAGAACTAAGTATCCCAATGGCCAGTGCCTCTGGCAACAGACTTCATCTCAGTACCCTGCCCCAACACACACCGCACTGCCTCTCAGATGAAATGAGCCGTTTGTCTACAATTATAACCTCCTCCTGGAATATAGAGCCTTGCTTGATTGGCTGACATGGTGTATAAAGTCCTGGCCCCTTTGCTCTAAGTCCAGAGAGCTCTGTCACACTTCTGAATTCCCCACAAATTCAGTAAGAGTGCCCATTACAACTACATCACCTGTACTTCTCCTTCTGAGCAGTCCAGTTTTAGCTTCCTTCCCCTTTCTTGTGTTGATGTCAAGATCCTTCCTTAATCAGCCTACATCTTGCCTTTGACTTCGGCCTGTTTTACATGGAACCTGACTCCACTTACGCCCCTTTATAATCATGAAAAGAGGTGTGTCTTCAAGAACTTAAATAGAGGGGCTGGGAAGATGGCTCACCTGGTAAAGGGCCTGCCTTACAAGCATGAGGGACATGAGTTTGAATCTCCAGCACTCATGCTTCCAAACAAAAAGCTGAAAATAGTTGCACCTGATGTCACCCTAGCTCAATGGTATAGAGACAGGCATGTCCCTGAAGCTCACTGGCCAGCCAATTTTGCCAGTCAATGAGCATCAGTACACAGTGATAGAGAAAAACAACTAATGCAGAGCCCTGAACTTCACATGCACAGATGTACTTACACATGTGCCCAAATACACATAAATTACAAAGAAATAAAAATTAAAAGAAGAAACATTTAAACATAATATTTATGTTCAAATATCATGGTGGTTCATGCTGTAGAAAGATAATCCTCTGCCCATCGACTGGACATGTTAGAACTAGGGTGAAAAAGTGTTAGTTGAATATCAGAAACGCATTGGTAGAAGGTATATTTCTTAGTGGGATGAGCCTCAGAAATCAGTGACCTGTCCATCACCCTGAAACAGGAGCGTCATTCTTACCTACTGAAGGTTCCTTCCCACTGCTCTCTTTAACTTTATTCTCACCTTCAATACCTAGGTTTTGG